TAAATGCTATCCATACTTATAACTCATTTTTATGGAAACTAATTAGATTCGTCATTAATGTCAACAATAATATTTTTTCAGAATGAATTAATATGTAGAAGAATTAGAGTGTATTCCAGCAGAATGAGAGTGTATTCTAGTAGAATACACTCTCGTTCTTCATATTCAATGCAACTTTATTGTATTTTAAGTGAGTGAGTCCTGAAACAAAATACAAACTCATATATAAAAACCTAGATGCGAATTCATTCTGAAAGAATGTTATTGCTGACATTAATGACATATATAATTAGTTTCCATAAAAAGAGAATTATAATTATGGATATCATTTAATATACATATAATTATGGAAATCATTTAATATCTATATTTAATTAATTAAATAATTATTTAATTTACTAAATTCCTATTGGTGCATTCTAGCACACAATAAATATAAGAAACAAAATAACCTAGTCCTATATATATATATATATATATATATATATATATATATATATATATTAAAGTTTCTATAATTATACTTGGGATGTCTTATGCCTTATGCCTTGAAATATTTATAAAGTTATATCATTACTCAAATATATAAATATTTTAAGGTATACAAACCCAACCCACCACAAATATTGTAGCTCCTTTGTTTGTCTAGAAACGACATCATTTTTATTTTTGTCATTGTACGTCTAGCCCCTCATCTAACAATAAAAAAACCTTCATTGCCTTCTACTTTCGGCTACATGCCAACTTTGGACATAATGAACATTTATGTACAAACCAGACCAGTCAACAAAGATAACAAAAATTCCTTATATAGTTCAGATTGGGACATGACACATACCTTAATATACAGTTTTAACAATTATATATTATTAATTACTTAAGACCTATATTGTATTAAAAAAAAAAAATAAGTGTTAATGTGATAGTCATATAGAAGATAAGTATAGAGTTCACACTATACAAATAAAACATAATTATTATTAGTTGATTACAATCACTTTATAGTGCATGTAAAAGAATTTCATGTAACATGTGTTGTTTACCTATATCCACAATTTTGCATGACACGTGTATATACCAATTAAAAATATCCAATTTGTCTAGCCTATGAAGTTCCTCTCCAACAATATACGCTACTCCAAGTCTTTAACACTATAAATTATATCTCTCTTTTTAACAACCACCAACTGATGAGATTGAGAAATCAAAATTCATCACGATGTATACTTTTGAATGACAATACGATTAGCTAGCTAGTGTATAAGATCATTAGAAAATGTTCTTTATTTTTGATGACTTTTCTACTTACATGTGGACCACTATCACCTACTATGGTTGCCATTTGCCAAACCCTACGTTCAATCTTCTTATATATACCCTCTTCACTGCACCACTCTACACACCCATCTCCATTTTTCTACTAAAACATATTTTAGAAAGACGATGAACGTCTTGCAGAGATGGCCAGAACCAGTGGTGAGAGTGCAGTCGTTATCAGAAAGTGGCATAGAAGCCATCCCGGACTGTTACATAAAACCCATCATGGACAGGCCATCGGTGGACGTGGAGGAGTCGAATGAGGTCAATATCCCAGTCATTGATCTCTCAGGCCTCAACTCAGATGATGCAGCGTTGCGTAAGGCCACTTTGGAGCTAATATCCGATGCTTGTCGTGCGTGGGGGTTCTTCCAGGTGGTGAACCATGGTGTCAGCCACCAGCTCATGGCGGAGACACAGAAGGTGTGGCGAGAGTTCTTCCAGCTTACGGTGGAGGAGAAGCAGAAGTACGCTAACTCACCGGAGACTTATGAGGGCTACGGAAGTCGTGTTGGGGTGGTGAAAGGTGCCGGATTGGATTGGAGTGATTACTTCTTCCTTAATTATCTGCCTGTTTCTTCAAGAGACGAAAATAAGTGGCCATCTCAGCCGTCAACTTGCAGGTATTTGTTTCCATGTTTTTTTTAATAATTATTACATGTTTGTTTACATTCGATCATTTTCATTTTCTATCAGTTGTAGGAATTACCGAATTAAGTTTTTTTGACGTAATATGATATTATGACTAAAATAAACAATATTTTACTTTGAAATTGTTTTATAGGTATTGAATTGTATAGTTTGTGTCAGTTTTATAAATTGATTAAGAAAAACCTAATAATATAACATAAATCGATAAGTAGGTAAAAGATTGTGTATAAATGATAAAAATGTATGTTGTTAATGCATAAATATTAAAAAAGAAACAGTTAACTAGTGACAAGGAACTCGCCGTTACAATATTACATAACAAACTGAAATGAAACGTGATTGTATATATATTCGTCTAAAATTATTTTCATACATACTAAAAGCAACTAAAAAAATTACACCATAATATATAAATATTTATTAGCTTCTAAAGATACATATATTCGATCTATTTTTTAGTTAAAACATTTGATTAGACATTGAATTATCTAATTATCCGTTAATGTAATTAAAATTTTATAAGCTCAGGTCGTTTTTTTTCCTAATAAGATTAAGGTTTTGCATAGTAGGATTTAGGCTTTGTTTTGTAAACTAACTTATTTTCAACTAACTTATTTTCTAACTTATTTTCTAGTTTATTGCAACTTGGTGTTTTGTAATACCACAAAGTTAGTTTATTATAAGTTATAAACTAAAGACAACACATTGATATTTTTATAGATCATTCTTTTGGATTTTTCATAGGTGTAGTAAAGCCAAGATTAGTTTGAGCTCTTGGCTTCATAATCCGGCTTCCATCATTTTTTTATTGTCATGGTTTCTTTCTAGCATCTTGTTATTTTTTAATAAAATATTCCGCCGTTCCAATAAAAAAAACATATTGATAATCTATTTGAGATAACTTATTGATAAACTAAAGTATAAGTTAAATAGTTTTTAAGCTTACGTTAAGTCCAGTGGCAAGTCTAAAAAGTAAAACCACATGATTCACTATTTAAATGAAACCAATAAAAAAAATTCAAAGATAGGCTTTGAAAATCTTGATTTATGCATATTTGTTTTTGTCAAAAGCATTAAAATGGTTCACTTAAATATATTTAAGTATTTAAGGTAGTTCACAATTTATATTTTTATATAATCCTTTATATAAATAAAAAAATAGATGGGTCGACTGACCCACCTTTGATGTATGTAGCCTCCACTGAAGCTAATATTTTAGATATTAGAACTTCTATCTATTCATAGATAAAGATAAGGGTTAAATGATTAATCATAGACTCAATATACATGCTAACTAATGGATTTTACCCAAATATTAAATAATTTAATATAATCTAGATTGATATCCATCATTTAATTTAATCGTATCTTTCCAAAAGATTTGTGGTTATAGGTTTGTTGTCAATGTTGAAGTTTGGTTCTTGGCTAAAACAAAACGTGCTATTTAATTAAGGACCGAAGAGATGTTGATTCGTTGACGAGTCATTGGTCAATAATCTATTATTTTGTATTATGGATATCTTTTGAATATAGTATTTTTAAGTTATTTTATTTTTAACAAATATTTAAAGGATAAAATTATAAAACAGTAACATTAACTTTAAATTATTTTAAGATATGATGTCAGACACAATTCGTCGTATAAACTAATTTATTTTACGAGTTTTTGTTTTAGAAATTCAATTTGAAAAACCAAAAAATAATTTATTTTGTATATTTTGAAAAAGCTAGCAAAACTAACTTTTCAACCAAGTTATGAATTGTTTTTAAATATTTCAAATATAATATATATTAGTTATAATAAAACTGATTTTTGTATAATTTTATGTTAGTTTACATTTTCCAAGTAACTTGCCATTTAATTTCTTAAACATCATTTTCAGTGTCGAATCTAAAACCAAAAACCACGTGGTTCCTTATGTAAATGAAATTGAAAAAATATGAAAATATAGGTCTTTTGACAAAAATAAGGTAGTTCATCATTTTTTTTATATATACTTGTTGTTTTAAACTTCAACTTCTAATTTGATTTACTTTCAAAATTTTCGACATTTCGCTATTATCTTCCTCTTACATCGTATGTTTTTGTCGAACACCTACCAAAATATATATATTATAGTTGCAAATGAAAACTATGTAAACAGAAGATAATTGTGAACTTTTTTAAAATGTTAAAAGTAAATCAACTTAAAAGTTGAATCTTAAAAACTTTGGACGATTACAATACATATATAATATAAAATGACATAATATGGTGAGTTTTTGTATCTAAGTTTATATATCTCATAAGATATATTCACT